TACCCAGAGTCTTGGCTATAACTTCATACCCAGAGTCTTGGCTATAACTTCATACCCAGAGTCTTGGCTATAACTTCGTACCCAAGTTGTGTTTGCCATAGCTTTTTCACAGTTATAATAGCCAGAGTTTCACTGATAACTGGAAACCTGATCCTTCATTCCCAACTAGTTTTTCACTGATATTATCTATTCTGAGTTTTGTATATTTTCTATTCTTTCAACAAAACAGCCAATATTGCGTATTCCTTAATTTGTTTGGCAAATAGTCAATATTCATTGAATTTTCAAAGCGATGTACTCTTTATTCAATTTTCCGTTTCCACGCCCGAAAATGCCGTGAAGTCGAACCGAATAAGAATTCAAAATTGTTTCGGTACATAGAAATTACTTCGTCGAAAACTGGCCTAAATTTTGTTGTTTGCCAGTCAAGCAACATTTTTATACTGTAATGAAGAGAAAGACTGGTTGGAGATGTATTTTGCACAAAGAACTACAGACTAGTCTCCCACACGTCACAAAGAGCGGCTACGAGGAAAACAGGAACTTTATCGTAAAGTACATAATATGCATAACAATTACATTGGACAGGAAGGTTGGAAAGGCGTTGGTTATAGAAAAAAAGGGGCATGGAACTCGCCATGACACGCCTTTGGATGAAACGCTAAGGAGTGCTCGATATCATATAGATGGAGCAGAGTAGTTTTTGAGCATATATATATATATATATATATATATTTATGTGAACGATCTGCCCCGGACGGTAAAAACATCAAAGGTGGTGTTCCTGACACCAAGGTTCTAAAGCAGGTTAACAACTGTGAACTTAACCTACCATTCTACAGCGAAGTACGCTACGAAGAACGTTTAATAGCCTCCAACTTACTATAGCAACAAGACTCTCTATGAAGCGTTAACTCGCTGGGCTATACAACGGGCGCACATTACTGTTAAGATCTAAAGGCTGATTTCCACTGTTGCGTTTCTCGTACGCACGTACACGCACGTAAAATTTTGAATCCTTTTATTTTTAAATATTTTACAAATAAAGTTAACAAATGCATACTAAAACTTGCGGAACAGTAAATTCTGTTGCTTTATTTATTTGGTTATTTTATAAGTAACATTCAAGGGAAAATTTTGCCAGGTAAATTTTTCAATGGTTGTGGCATTAAGTTTATGTTGTGATCAAACTTAATTTACCCTATTATGCTTCTCGTCCTTATTCTGCTTCAATTCCGCGCGTTTTATCCTCATTTACGGAATCCGCTTCCGGAATCCGCTTCCGGAATCCGCTTCCGGAATCCGCTTCCGCAATCCGCATTCCGGTTTCGCGTTTTATCCCAACCCAATAAAACTTCCGGCGTTTAATATGCCCACAAGTAAAGTTTCGCTTGACTTTCAAATACAAAGGCCATAAATCGCTAGAATACTGTTGTCAGTTGTTTAGTAATACAGTTGACATCCGTAAGTACAATTTCTCATTTGTAAGTGCAATTTCTTACGCTGAATCGAACGGTGGTATTTTCAGGGATATATATATATATATATATATATATATATATATATATATATATATATATAT